AAGTTTGTCAGAGGTCTTATGAAGTCTAAGTTGCTTACATGTATGAGAGTTCAGACTGAACTGACCTAAAAATCTGAATTAAGCTAAAAATATCCCACCAACACACTTATGAAATACAGATACAAGAAAAAAAAACGTGTAAATGAGAAGATGACTAACAAAATGAATGACTACTTGATTGGTGAATAGGCAAATACTGTCATACTATAGCTTTACAAATATAAGCATGTACAGTGCAGCATATAAAAAAATTAATACAAATAAATAAATAAATAAAGATACTTTTTAACTTCTTCCTTCCTGGTGCAGATCACTATATTATGACCAAGTATGAATAACGCTGCGATGAGATCAGACCATTGCACTAATTCACCTAATGGTGCCCCAATAAAAGCCTGCTTGAACCACTGAGGACTGTTTGCAAATGATCCCATGTATAGAAATATCTGGGAAAAAAAATGACTGAATGTGAGGAGGTTGGGTAAGATGCAAATACCCCTCCCCCCCCTAAAAAAACAACAACAAGCATTCTCCCCTCAAAAAATCTCTTTTTCACCGACCTACCACAAAAAAAAAAAAAAAAAAAAAAAAAAAAAAAAAAAAAAAAAAAAAAAAAAAAAACAGAATTCTGAGGGTGTATGCATAGCCTGGGTTCTCCAAACCATACATCTGTAATATAGGCTAGTATATAGTACATGTATTTACCCGTTTAGCCATGACCTGGGCACCTGAAGGGAGGAGAAAACGAGGAAGACCAAAAACAACTTGGAGAAGAACTGTAGAGAAGAATAGGGGAGAGACCRAGTGGAAGACATGGGAGGAGGTGTGGACAAAGGCGGCAGACAGAGTAGAATGGAGTAAAATGTGCCACTAGGCACGAAGAGGAAGATTGATTTATTGATTGATTTACCYGTTTGGGGAAGTGGTTTTCCACTGGATGGTTTAGTCCCATTAATGTATCCAATCCCTTGATCCAGCTTGGCCATAATCGATGAATTCTCTGCCTCATCCATCTCCAGTAATCAGGTTTCATCATTGCCATTAAATCATAGAACTGCCTTTTTAAAATTGCCTGGAATCATGTTTTTTTTTATCAGCAATGATATGAAGGCTAGTGGCTCCATACAGAAACTTGATATCACTTTTATCAAGTAATTTAAACAGGCTTTATGATCTATCAGTCAAACTTAAATATTAATGCAAAATACAGCACCTTTCGTTTAGGTTTACCGTCCAGGGATTCCTCACGCAACTTTTTGCGGAAGTCCAGAAGAGGGCACCAGCTTTCTACCTAATGAATGAATTAATAAATAATTAAGGGATAAATCATAAATGGATCAGGTACTTAACAGTCATTCACAAAAATTCTGACGAGTTACCTCACTTAGGTACATATGCACTGAGCAGCTGTCATCAATATCAAGAGAGTGGCGTTCAATATAGCATTKATAATGTTGTTCCCAGTTCTGTCTYAACCACTGTCAATGRAGTAATGGMTTTAAGTGAATGAAATACATGYGRAGTGGAGTATATTAAYGATAATTCATACAAGGACAAATCAATATATTGTATTTGTACATGCATATGCAGGAAGGTACTTAGCTAAGATGATACAAGTAGATTAACTATATAGTAMGATGAAATATACTATAAGTTGGYTGGTGTTGAKTGAGGRGAGAGCAAGAATGGTGCTTTMCTAGTCTGTCTGACAATAGTGCCATCCTTGTTTTGATTATTGGTCAGAACATGTGAGATGAAGCCGGTTGTCTTTAAGTTCTGGTGAAGTGATTTTCTCTTAGCATAGTGTTGCATACTCTAATTAAAGCAGTCAATATACAGAGAGTATGTCTCTCTATTTAGTGTGAAATGCACACACTAG